AACCCACTTTATGCATAATACCACCACAGAGTGTGATGTGAAAACATGCCTCGCCCTACTTGCAATTCATACCTGCCCTCCGACCCAAATGCAATCGTGGCAATGTGGTGTTGCGGTTAACGCGTCGAGATTATACGCGGCCCTACAACGACTCGGGTTCGAGTCCCGCTGGAGGCACCGATGAAAACAGGTTAGGCGAAGCAGAAACTGAAATATTGAAACTTCTCTTCACCTTCTACAACTTTTTTTCTATACTTCCAATCTGTTTCTTCTTTGCCTGCGCTAATTTATTACGAAAAGAATAAGGAATTCCCTCTTTGAGCCGATTCAAGGGGTCGAATTCGGCTAGAACAGTCATGCAAGCTGGAGTGACTTCACTTGTAGGCATCTCCACTGACGATGGTGGGCACGTAGTCTACGCTACAATATTCGGAGACTCCATGACGACGAGATGAGAGGACGCAGTTTGAGGCTGGTCAATTGAAGTCTGTCGACAAACAGGACCAAATTGGGACAACGGAGCAACATGAAAGACACGAGTGACGAATTTCTACAGAAATAAACGCAAAAGTCAACCTCCTGAATGGGAAGAATGAGTGCAATAAAGGGAACACGAAGTTTGTGTGGTTGTTGGATAGGCTTAAGGCGAGACAGGAAAAACGGTTAAACAAAAGAAGGAGGCTTGACTTGCTTCCATTTTGATTAATACTCTTACATTTCACATGACTTGGCCATTGTCTACACACAACACACCACAGCCCATAAATAAAAAATTGCTGGATTATATGTTTTGTCTATTTTTGCAGTAAAAAAGTTGCTATTGCATCCGCATCAATCTTCTCCGTCCACAAGAATGTGTAATAGGTGGAAAATAGTCAAATAAATAATTGGATATTTATGAGGTGTATTCACCATATTTCGTTTAATGCGATGAAGGGACCGGTAGTTAATTTACTCACACTTATATGAGTAGACCTCACGTTTGCATTGAAGCTCACATATCCTTGTTTTCCCAGGTGTGGACCTCCTCCAATATTTTTGGTGGGATTCTCGATGAAGCAAAGTTGTATTTGCTATAACAATCGACTGCACTACTTACTTTTCTTTTATAAGTAGATTTTCGATACCACCACTAAATTATTTATATATCAAATGTATCAACTTAAACAAAATAGGAGGAATACATTTCGTAGCTGAATGATATACTGGTTGTGTCGAAAACCTATTTATACACGAATAATTTGTGAATAATTGTTCTCAACCAGAATTCTCGTTAGTCGTCTCAATTACTTGTTCCGATGTTTTTAGTATTTGCCAGATGCCGGTTCCTAATCAGCATAGACATTACAACTCCTATTTTAACCCCATAAGTGCTTATGGAAAATAAATTCAAAAAGAAACCTGTGTTTGTGGGTTTCCTATACACATCGCTACATAATCTTGTTCCCTCTTTGCCAAATAGGACATCTAAAAAAGGTAAGCCACCTTCGTTTTCCAACTCTTGCATGAATTTCGTCTTACCATCCATCCTATTCTTCGAATCAGGGAAATTTTCCAGGTTTTCTTCGCCATATCCTCTTTACTGTGAACTAATAATTTAGGTATGAAAAGTAACAAGGTTTCAACGAATCCCTTGAGATAACAGTATTGAGGAGACTTTCTTCTCGTGTGAAAGAGTATGAAGATGAGATTCTAAGGTCGATCTCACCCGAAGACGACGGTCAGTTAGCGTCAGTTGGGCTTAAATACGATGTTCAGATCGACGCAGTTCACGAGATATCCTCCCTCGTTTCGGGTGAAAACTGGCTGAGCTTTCGTCCGTCAAATAATGGACATCATCAAAGCTGGAACTCATTCTTATAAAAGTCTCACATTAAAGCAAGATCAAGAAGACTTCTGATGTTGAACCGTCGTCCAAAAAAAGGCGACTCAAATTGTCCGCTCAGTCATGTTACTAACTTGACTCACTCTTGTTCAACATGTCAAATTAAGCTCATCAACCAAACCGCATGTACAAGACCCAGTCATGCAACTCCTTGGGTTGCTAAACCTTAATCACCCTAAACTGATAGATAAGGAAAGGTGATTTTGTAGCCTGGCTTACATGCTTACATCGCATAGTTACTTACGGACGTATGCAATCTCGATCAGGCCTTTTTTTGGCTCATTAAGCCCTGATGACTAGAGCCTGACTTTAGTCTTTTGTGATCCTTCTGATTTAATGCCGGTATTGTGTTTAGATGTTAACACACACACACACACACACACTCGAGCAAAAGTAATAGGGACAATGCTTCGAACCAGTGAGATAATTTGAAGCAACATTAATACTCGAATCATTGGGATCAGTCGTAACATCAGGGTCATTCAAATAAGCCAGATAACTTCGATCATTCGGATCACTGGGATCATTTAAATAAATGTAATCAGTCGGACTAGTTGGGTAAGCCGGATCAGTCAAATCAGTAAGATCATTCGGATCATTAGGATAAGTCGAATAGGACGGATCAGTAAGATCATTCGTAGAAGTTTGATCGCTCAGATCATTTATATCATTCGGGTCAGTCGGATAATTCTAATAAGGCAGATCAATCTATTCATTCAGATCGTTCGAATCGATCGGATCATTCGAATGAGCCGTATCATTCAGATAATTCGGATCTTTTTGGATCAGTCGGATCCACCAGATCAGCTCTATCTGTGCATACTCCAGCTAAGTTAGGTTATTCAAATCAACCTGATCAGTTGGATCATTTGGATCAACATGATCAATTGTATCATTCGGTTCAATCGGATGAGTCAGATAGGTCAGGTCATTAAATAAAGCCAGATTATTCAGATCATTCAGATCTGTTGAATCAGTCAGAGCAGTCAATTCATTCGAATAAACTAGATCAACCTGATGAATAAGATAAGTCGGATCATTCAATTAAGCCAAACATTCAGAGCATTCGAATCTACATGATCACTCGGACCGGTCGGTCAAGTCAGATCATTCGATTAAGCCAGAAAATCTAATAATTTAGATCAGTCTATTCAGTCAGACCCTTCCAATAAGCCAGAGCATTCAGATCATCGGGATGAGCCGGATAATTTGTATCAACAGGATCAGTTGGAACAGCCAGATCAGTTGGTTTATTCGGATTTGTCGGATCCGAGTGATCCGTCGTAACATTGAATAAGCCAGATCGTTCAAATAATTCATTCAAATTAAGAATATCAGTAGGAAAAGCTGTATAATTCCGTTAAGTCTGCTCATTTGGATCATTTCAATCATTCGGATCGGTCGGATAAGTCAGATCAGTAAAAGATGTAAGATTATTCGGATAATTTGGATAGGTTGGATTAGTCGCATAGGAGGGAGCATTCGAAAAGCCTGCAAGATGATTTAGATTAATCGGATCAGTCGGATCATTCGATGAGCCAGAAAATACAGATAATTCAGATAATTTGGAATAATCGAATCATTCGAATAAGCCATACCATTCAGGTAATTCAGAAGAATCAGATGAGCTTTATGTGTCGGATTATTCGATGATCTGACTAATCTCAGTCATCTGGATGATCTGAATGATCTAGCTTATTTGAATGATTGTTGAGCTTTCTTCCATTTCGAGTGAAAGTATTCGGTGAAGAGACTCGAAGTTCGATTCCACCAGAAGACGACCACGGATTCCTTTTGACCAGCTGTCGATTGGCTTCACTGGAACAATCAAGGTGACGCTGTTTCCGAGGCAATCTCCTTCGATTCCAGTCAAAAGATGCTCAGCTTTCGTCCGTCTTATGACGGACACAAGACTCGGTAGCTTGCATTTGGTTGTGACGATGATACCTTGCTCTGAGGATGTTCACTGCATAACGGACGAAAGCTTAGCATCCTTTCACCGGAATCGAAGGAGATTGCCTCAAAACAAGAATGTTCAAGTAAAGCCAATCGACAGCCGGTCAATAGGAATTCGCCGTCATCTTCTGGTGAAACCGAGCTTCGAATCTTTTCGCGCAACACTTTCACTCGAAATGGAAGTAAGCTCAACAATTATGAAACAAGAGATTGCTCGAAACCAAACTTATCTTCGCATTATTCTAATGATTCGATTGAGTTGAACGATTTGATTGTTGTAGCCTATTCGAATGTTCCGCTTTATCCGACCATTCCAGGATCAGCCGGAACAGCCAGATCAGTCAGATCATTTGGATTTGTCGAATCCGAGTGATCTGTCATAGCATTGAATAAGCCAGATCGTTAAAATAATTCATTTAAATTAAGAATATTAGTAGGAAAAGCTGTTTAATTCCGTTAAGTCTACTCATTTGGATCAATTCAATCATTCGGATCGGTCGGATAAGTCAGATCAGTAAAATAAGTCAGATAATTCAGATAATTGAGAATAATCGAATCATTCGAATAAGCCGTACCATTCTGGTAATTCAGAAGTATCAGATGAGTTTGATGTGTCGGATTATTCGAATAAACTAGAACATTCTGGTCATTCAAAGGATTTGGAATGGTCGGATAAAGCGGAACATTTGAATAAGATACAACAATCAAATCGTTCAGATTATTTGGATTAGTCAACCTAATCGGATCATTGGAATAATGCGAAGAAAAGTTTGGTTTCGAGCAATCTCTTATTTCCTAAGTGTTGAGCTTACTTCCATTCCAAGTGTAAATGTTGCGTGAAGAGATTCGAAGGTCTATCCCACCAGAAGCCGACGGCGGATTCCTCTTGATCAGCTTTCGTTTGGCATTTCTGTAACATTCAAGGTGACGCTGTTTCCGAGCTAATCTCTTTCGATTTCGGTGAAAAGATGCTAAGCTTTCGTCCGTCATGCAACGAACATGCTCAGAGCAAGGTATTATCGTCACAACAAAATGCAAGCTAACGAGTCAGGAAGACTTTGCATTTGATTGTAACGATGATATCCTTGATGCCCTGATGGAGTTCGTCATAAGACGTACGAAAGCTGAGCATCTTCTCACTAGAATCGAAAGAGATTGCCTCGGAAATAGCGTCACCTTGAATGTTCCAGCAATGCCAATCAACAGCTGATCAAAAGGAATCCTCCGTCGTCTTCTGGTGGAATCGAACTTCAAGTCGCTTCACAAAATACTTTCACTCGAAATGGAAGAAAGCTCAACAATCATTCAAATAAGCTAGATCATTCAGATCATCCAGATGACTGAGATTAGTCAGATCATTCAGTTCATTCAGTTTATTTGGTCCATTCAAATCGGCCAGATTCTTCAAATAAACCAGAGCATCAAATTCATTCAGATCATTCACATGATTTGCATTAGTCGAATGAGAAGGATCCCTTGAATAAGCCAGAACCGTCAAGTCAGTCAGATTATTTTGCTTAGTTTTATCAATAGGATCTTTCGAAGAAGAAAGAAAATTCAGAAAGTTTAATAATTTCTATTCTTTGGAATGTTTCGATAAGTCGATTCATGCAGATCATCCAGATCATTGAGATGATTTGGTTATCAACCATATTATTTTGATCATTCATACAAGCCAGCTTCTTCCGATCCTTAGAATTATTTGCATTTTTCGTGTTTGAGTGGAGTTTCGAGACTACCAGTAAATCAGTAGTATGAGATGTATTTACCGAATTTCGTTTAAGGTGATGAAGGACTGGTAGAAGAAGAATTTTCCCACAATGATATGAGTCGAGCTATGTAAAATTCAATGGAAACATCAGCCTTACTCATATGATTGTGGGAAAATTCTTCTTCTACCAGTCCTTGATCACCTTAAACAAAATTGGGTAAATACATCTCATACTACTGATTTACTGGTAGTCACGAAAACAATACTTAATTTAAAAAATAAAGTAAATTCTAAATATGAGATGTATTCACCCAATTTCGTTTAAGGATGAGAACAACTTTTGGCAAAGCAAGTCTATTTGAAATTCAATAGAAACGTCAGCTCAACTCATATCATTGTGGGAAAATTAAACTACCCCTCCTTCATCACCTTAAACGAAATAGCGTGATACATCTCATAGCCGTTTTTACCATGGTTCTAGTCGTAGTCATTTCTCTGCACTTTTAGTTCACTCTTTCTCTCTCGCATGAGGGCCAAAAAGTAAAAAAATGGCTCATCAACCAAACCAGACGAGTGTCCGACCTTGGGCAATCGGAGTGATGGAAGTTGTTTGACCATGTTTTCGCAACTTGGTCCTATTGGTTGAAAGACTTAGATAGACGCACCTTGTGCGGAGTCCATTGTATGCATCATCATTTCCAGAGTAGGACCGTGGACGTGGTACATTCCCAGACGTAAGGAACAACTTTTAGGAAAGCAAGCCAATGTGAAATTGAATGGAAAAGTCAGTTCTATTCATATCATTGTGGGAAAATTATTCTACTAGTCCTTCATCACCTTAAAGGAAATTAAGTGAATACCTCTCACACAACTGATTTATTGGTAGTCACGAAAACAATATTTAAATTTTAAAAATATGTGAAATTGAATGGAAACGTCAGCTCTATTCATATCATTGTGGAAGAATTCTTCTACCAGTCCTTCATCACCTTAAACGAAATTGGGTGAATACCTCTCATATTATTTGCATTTGTCGGATGAGTCGGATAATTTCATTACCAGCTCAGGCTTATCAGAGCATTTCTAAGTTAATTCGTGATTTCGATGCAAACCGATCATTCGGATCATTTGCATTGGTCTCATTGTCTGGATGAGTCGAATCGGCCGATTCCGTCGGATTAACCAAATTAATAGGATCACTTTCATTCTGAATATCGTCCAGATCATCTCGATTAGTCGGATCTTTTGGCCAGCTGTATCAACTTGACTCGCCCGATCTTAACGTCCGAACTTTTGTCAGAGTCCACGGCCCGATGGGCTCGTTGAGCAGGCCAGACTAATGATGAATTCCACGTCAAGGCGCGTTCTGCGAGGCTGTGCGTGACGGCGGCTGAACAATGCATTCGGCCATCAGCTGCGGGCGTCCTGTTCAAGAGGGAAGGTGCCTTTGTTCGTCCATCGGATTGAGCCGATGCAGTTGTTGCAAGAGACACAAAATATGGCGACTCCATTCGAAATGTCATGTTAACATTTTCACTTTGTGTGAACCGACTACTCACCGACAATGTGGTACAGTAAACGAGGGTGGAGACGGCCAGAACGAGGCCAGAAGAGGGTGGTTCCGCCGCGTCGGATGCCACCGGACTCGGCTGTGTTTAATGGATTCAGTGAATTGCTGTATCAAGACTAATGAGCCGACGAGACTACGCCAATTGTCAGAGCATAATGGAGCCGAGGCGGAGGGCAAGGTGGCCCGAACGGACAAAGCCATTCTTGCTGGCCGCATGGAGCGGACGAGAAGGCGAAACAAAACAGCGCTCCACGGAGGAAGCTGGAATTAGCGTTTTGGGGGCATTGACAACCGACTCTCGGCTCGACATTTCCCCACCCCACACTCCCCACACTCTCCACACTCCCCACACTCCTCAAACCCCGTTGTCTGCGTGTCGAAGAGCCAAAGTCGAGTGAGATGAAGTCCGCCTTTGAAAAGACACAAACGTTAAGGCCAGTTGAGGGGGCCAGTGTTTATTTGATTTTCGGTACAATTTTGGCCGCTTTTCGACGACTTAGCACTGGTCTTGTCTGGCCTGGGCTGAGCTGGACTGGGTTGTCCGCTGCGAGATGGGGACAATTCTTCGTACTACGCAACGGTTGCTAGCTGATTCTGCCAATAAACTCTTTTCTTCGCCACTCTGATCGCGGCTCGACTCACTGATTCGAACATCTGGAGGCAACGCCAGAAAAGAAATGCTATAATTCCCAAATGCATGTTAGCATGTTGACGAATTCTGTCCGCCAACGCCTGGCTCCGGAGGATCGGCCGAGTTGATCTGCATGAGTGCCTCGCAGCCTCGCTTATCCAAACGAGTCATCTAAAATGTTAGATTGAACTCATCAACAAGACCACACGTACGAGAGTATGCAGATTGCTTGGACCATTAAACCTTAATTAAACTAAACTGAGAGGTTGGGAGAGGTGATTTCGTAATCTGAATTACACGTTTACAAGCTCACGTCTCATTATTCGAGACTTAGTCACTTTCGGACTTACGCAATCTCGGCCATGGCTTTTTTCTGAAGTATCAAGCCTGACATTAGCCCTTTTTTGATCACTCTGATTTAGGACCGGTATTGAGTGTAGACGTTGACACACACACACACACACACACATAAACACACACGCATAAACACATACACAAACAAACACGCATAAACCTAAACACATTCTATATCTTTCGCTTTATAAGTAGGGATTTGCTTATCATAACATCGTTTGAATGATACGATTAGATTGATGGAAGTACTTCTTGGATTATCCAGGTCGTCTGCTAGATGGAAATAAGGGATGAGCACATGTGATTAGCTTAGATTGTTTCAATTAAGTATTGTTTTCGTGACTACCAGCAAATCAGTAGTGTGAGATGTATTCACACAATTTCGTTTAAGCTGATGAAAGACTGGTAGAAGAAGAATTTTCCCACAGTCATATGAGTTGAGCTGACGTTTCCATTCGATTTCACATATTTTTCGAATTAAGTATTGTTTTCGTGACTACCAGTA